TATGACCTCTAAAATACACTAAAAAGTATTAAATAGAATATCAGTTTTTGTTGAAATTACAATAAAGTCTTACATCTAGAAACAAACAAAGAACAATATAAACTAATTGCACACCTTGAGGAAAACACAGCATGCTAAATATACTTAAGAACTATTACTAACAGAATGCTTAACAAAGCGTGAAAAATAATAATACTTTTTTGCTAAATCATAAATATATGTGGAGATAGCTCTGCGAAACTGTGAAGAAGAAGTGGGAGGGATCAATCGATGTGACAATTTTATACATGACCACTTAGTCCAACGAATATTTTTTTATGAAACTTATTTTGAGATAGGATATCTTATATATATTTATAACAAATAAACTAAAAACTGAACCAATTTAAAAAATTCCTTCACTTATCATCTCGACGGCCGTCGTTCCACAACTGAGTGGTTTTAAGGGCTCTTTTTGCCGCGCACCACCACTGTAGAACCAGCTGCCCACTGAAGTATTTCCGAACCAATTCGAATTAGGGTCCTTAGGGAAAAGAGCGTACAGCGTAAAAGTCCGACAACGCACTCGCGAGCCCTCTCGCATTGAGAATGTTCATGGACGGCGGTATTACTGTATGCACAAGGCCCATTTGCCCCTGTTCTATAAAAAATAAACTTTCCGATTGCTACATTATCCCTAAGTAACATAGGCTACATTGATTCCCAAAATATTGCTAAAAAAAACATGTGTGTACTTATTTTACGCGTTAGAAGTTATACTTCTTTGGCGTAACAAGATAAAAATCTTTTCAAAAATGTTATTCACTATTATAACAACAGAAAATACTAAAATGTTGGTTATAGCTTACTTCAGGGTGTCGGTTTTTTGTGACGGTGTGCGCGTCCATCGTAAAAATTTACTCTCACAAATTTACCCTAACGCGCCAAAAGAAGTATAACTTCAATAAATGTTTAATCTTTATCGACAGTGAATAATGAACTTGACAGTGATAATATTATTGCCTGCGGGAAGGTGGGTGCATTCCGTTGCTATAAATACAGTCTCCCTTCGCTAGACTTTATTAATACTTTACTGAGCGATGAAGATTATGGATTTAAGTGTATGCTCTTTTATAGATTATGTTAAACATTATGAACAGGATTTTATATTCAAATTAAAAATTATGTTCGATAAACAAATTTTCTAATCAGATTTTTCATATACTCGGATCGAACATGTTAGTGAATGATCGAATATTAAAGAAAGCGAAATCTAATACTTTCTAATACATAAATCAGTGTTTTGTTAGCATTTATTAACCTGTGAAAACTGGGATAAGCTAGCGCAACTTGCATTTTTTAATAAACGTACCACAATCTTTCAAAAAAACGATGTATTATTATTTTAACTCGAAAATTTCATATTACATTATTTACACAAAATAAGGAATTAATTCTTATACTAACAAATAATTTGCTAAAGAGGCCGATTATTAGAGCAACAAAAACATTACCATAACCACCTACTATACCTAAGCACTTTTTTTTAAAGAATATTGTCTCTGGTCTATTGTGCCACGTTATTAGACTAATAAAGTCATTCAATCGGTCGTTAACGCCTATAATACGTTCATAAATGACAATTATTATTTATAATGTATTATTATAATTTGTAATATTCATTAAACTAAAGCAATATCGAAACTGAAAGCTCTCTATAATCGTTACTAGAAGTTGTCAGTATTAAGTCGAAACTTTACAAAGCTTAAAACTTTTGCTTTGCATCTCCGTCGACTGTCATTTCTATTTGCATTTTTTCCATATTCATAAAGAGGAGATGTAGTTTTAATCGCTGTATTCACTTTCTTGATTTTATTATTTTTACTTTAGATGAGTTTTCTTGGTTAAAATTGAGCGCCAAGTATTATTTCCGTATGTCAAATAGAATGTTTTTGATATTTTTGACACTTACACAACACTCGTATCATCATCATACACAAACTAATAGTTTTCTATGTGTGCTTTATGACTAATGAAGGCCGCCAATTTTAGTTGCGCATAAAATAATTTATATTATTATTTCTCATTATTTGTAGGTTATATTATTATATGGTGGAAAGGAAACAAAAGTTTTCATTAAAAGTGTCTAGTGAGTGAGTAAGCTTTCTTTCATAAGGCCCCATTCAAAAAGGAATGTTTTGTCTTGCTTTCTTATGTGCAAAGTAATGTGAGAATGATAAGGACAGTCAAAAAGTATTTAAGGTTTTTAAGTATTTATGTGTGTCACAAAAACACACATTATAAAAAGGTTGACAAACACTAACTATACCACCGTGGCTCAGTAGATATTATTCATTGAAATAAATCAGTATAATTGCACCGATTAGGTACGGCACTCATCTGTCTCTTTTCATAACCGCGCAAATAATATTTGACAAAAAGAGACGACAGTACTTTAGTTAATAGAGTTCGTTTTTAGACTTTACTTAATTCACTTTGTGCTATAGTACTTGTATAATCTCCGTGTATACAGCAGAGATTTGAATGTCAACTTTCCAATATCACAGATTTCCATAGCATGTGAAAATCGCCTCTCACCTGTAACATCACAATGAATAGCACTTTTACGATACGAGAAATCTTTTGAAGCAAGATTATAGTTTCTATGAATCGATCCAAACTAAACAACAATTCAAAAATGAATCCTTAACCCTATGCGTTTAATTCTTACGAAGCTACAGATAAATACAAAACCACAGATTATGCCCTGAAAGAAACAATAACAGATAAATAATAATATACCGCAAATACAAGGCGTGACAGTCATACTTCATGCGCACCATATACTACGTTGAGAACGTAATAGGTATTGAATACTGTCCCAAAATAAAACTTCCGTTAAAATTCACAATTTTCAGTTACTCTGTTCTTTTTTACATTTTAACAAACCCTTCCTGCAACTAATAATCATATTATTATTATATACTACCACTTCTTGTACTACCATAGGTTATACCAATCGTGATGGTCACCGTTAATAAAACAATAAATATGAGTCTATATCCCTTAGGTTTTATTAAAATAAAACATTAAAATAAATTTCTCTTTAGAAACTTCTATTCCCTTTAGACCGGAACTAATACCATTGCCCTAATGATAAATGTATTAAAGTCACACACTTTCGTGACTGAATGCATTTTGATAACGTTTCTACGTTTCCCTGCAAAAACCGTTTCGCGAATAAGAACGCCCACGCAACATTCATTATGTTGTCAAAAACCGCTATTGCTTAGAACTATTCGAATCGCATAGTTTGCATAACGAAATGTAACACGGAATTTCCCGCGGCATCTTTGGCCTCCATTCGACTCAGAGAATTCCATTTTTGAATATACTTTTAATTGTTTACATTATCTGTAGTTTTAATTCCTGTTCTATTTTTGAACAACTGACAATTGTCATAGTTTTTTTTATTAACTTCCTGAGGTTGTTAGCTTCAGAGCTTGGGCTTTGAGTGTTTAGTTGAAATTTGGCTTGGCATCAACAACTGTGAATTGTCATTAAGCAAATCTTGCATCATCGCTCAAGTAACAAATTTTGTTAAGTATATCATGATATGTTATACCGGAGCAATCCTGATTGAATTAAATTCTTTTAGACTTGAAGATGAGATTTATAAACGAATATAATTCAAGGTAAAATTTGTTCTATGAATTCTACCTATACTAAACATAAATTTAAAATTATTTACAAGCTCCATCCCCTAAATTAGGATAAGTGAGTTTTATCCTATTTATGCTTACTTTGAACCTTTTGGAATAATATATAAATTTTATTTCCATTGAAGCCCCTAAATATGTTACCGATTGCCAATTTAATTATAATTGATTTAAATAATTACATTTTTTCAATTAACTAGAATTTTAAAAGAACGTGAAAAAAATATTTTAAGGACCTAAAACTTAAAACCTGCATATTTGAACCAAATTTTACAGACATAAAAATTCAATTATAGCACCCAACAATGTCGGCCTCCGAAACATCCAGCTATCCCGGTCCTATGCCACTTTCCGCTAATCACTGGCTTTCAGCTGCAGCAGATCCTCCAGATCCAGTAGTCACAGAGCCAGTGGAGGGAGTGTGTGTAATCCGAAAAAAATAATGGTCCATTGGATAATTGTTTTTTTACCATTATATTCCTTAAATCCCCTACAATATAATAAACTTACATCTGCTAAAGAAGAATAAGACGATATTTAAAGCCAGAAAACATTATACTCTAATATAAATTACCATCATAAATTGTAGGAGTTTTAAAGTGTCTTGTAGATAAAAAGTATTCTTGGCTTAAGTTCATAAGTTAAGATGGCATTTGTTTCATTGTAAGATTGTTACTTGGAAGAATTTACACTTCAATTTATAAAGAGGATGTATATATTTATATTTTTGTTGAGCATACATCATTTAGTTATGATACAAATGTAAAAAAACATAAAAATCGTTTGGTAAACTTGTCGTATCACGGCTCAACCTTAAAACATCTTCAAATTTTCTACATATTTTCATCAGTCGGCAATGGTGTATCATGCAATAATGTGGTGGCGCATGCTCTTTAACCCCAGAGAAATTAAATAAAACATCATGATTTGTGAAATGAATGAATGAAGGCACAAATTTTTGGCTTTAACCTAACCTAACCTGATGTAATTCACTAGGAACTGAGACAATATCATTTACATCATGCATGTTATATTATCAGTTTTTTTTAAGGGGTCCAAAGCAAAATTTTTGGAGCTGTTTTAAGGTGGAACCGTGAGTTAAAAATCTATAGTGAAAATAACGAGAGGCTATTTTTTCATAAACATATAATTATGAAATAAAATAAATCCTAAATCTTAATCTAATTTGTCATATATAAGATTTCGTAAGGTACCTACTAGTAGGTACTAACTACGTACATGTGCTATTTTTACCATAATACACAGATTAGCTAAATCTATTTAGTAATCATATCGATTAATATGTTCAGTGGACTGTGTGGTATTGGTAATATGGTAATTCTTTCCCCATTATAATATTACACTGGATTCTAAAGAATTTGTTTGTAATAATTTCCATTTTAAAATTACGACAAGATTGATTCGAGTAGGTAAAACCGGGACACAAGTAATTTATTCAATTATTAATAACAGCTTTATCAATTTACACATAGACTTCAAAACATTACTACTAAACATTTTTCAAGTCTCATTCAACGTAAAAATATTATTCATAACCTAGATTACGAACATTGTAGGAATGAAATTCGCACTGAATACAGTGAGTCCATTGTTCCTAATCGCTATTATTCAAGGCAATCGAGAATGTACTAGAACGGAGGCTGTTTCTCAAAGAATACATCATTAAGCGCTTATCAGTTTTCTGAGAATATCGGCCATCAGTGATCAACGTCATCATTAAACGTAAACCGATTTATCATATTATGGCTTCTAAGCGTGTTGGAATAGTTTTATTATAGTCTCTTTTTAGTTGACGTAAAATCATATTAACTTGTGTCTGTGGCGCATAGGCTGCGCGCGCATCGTTTTAATAAAAAAAAAAAGGGTGCGTGTACTTATGTCCGCGCGTAAAAACTTATACTTCTTTGGCTTTCTTTATTGTTTTAAATATAATTAATATTTAACGTAAACAATTTAATAATATTTAATATTTAGTTATATTAATCAATTATTAATTAATATTATTAACAATTATTATTTTATTATATTATTCATTTAATGTAATAACTTGGTATGTTTCATAACCTTTTAACTAAGTAACAATAGGTCTTTGTGAAAAAGCTTTGCTAAATTTCTTTGAAAAAATAATAAAAACTCCTTTATTTGTTTAAAAGGTAAATGTCATTATGGTCATTCAAAATTCTTGGCATAGCTGCTAAGTTCACGCATATTTTATTTCTTTTTACTTGTAGATTGTCTTATTCCCATCTCGCTCGCGCACGCTATAATCACAATGACAACTTTGTGTCTCAGGTGCGCGCGCATCGTAAAATTTTACTCTCATAAATTTTTCATAACGCGCCTAAAGAAGTATAACTTCAAAAAAATCTTGGGGTGATTCAGAAACCGTTTTCGTAGGTCATTATATATTTTAATGTTTCTGGTCTGTATTGCTAATATCAGCAAGTGTTCATTAACAACTTCGTATAAATTCTTTTACATATTCACTTAAACTTTATATTTAACAAAATAAAAAAGCTCAAGATCACTGTTCAAGTCTCACGCTAATATATAAACTGACATTTATTTACAGATAAAGAAGATCGCTATCAGCGTGCGTCATCGGATGAGTGGCGCAATGCGGGCCGCGGAGCCCTTGTGAGGTCCACCCTCGCAATGGGCTCCAATATCAGCCAGCACTCTGCCAAGGGTCTGAAGGGACGCCGCGCACGATCCAGCGGTGATCTATGTAATGGCGAGACGAAAAGTCAAACAGAATCCTCAGTATGCGGCTCGGTTGTCGGCGATGTTATGGCCTGGAATAGGTCCTTGCCAAACCATCTGGATGGAAACAGACACCTAGCCGACTATAGTCGCGTGAATAATAACTATGGGGAGTTCGCGACGTATAGGTGCCATCCGAAGGGCGGGCGAGGACTTCGATACAGGATTTCTAAGTCTGGTTAGTAATTTTAGATAAAATAATTGATATGTATTCATTAGTTCAAGAGCAGTGATAGCCTAGTGGCTTCAGTGTGCGACTCTCATACCTGAGGTCGTAGGTTCGATCCCCGGCTGTGCACCAATGGACTTTCTTTCTATGTGCGCATTTAACATTTGCTCGAACGGTGAAGGAAAACATCGTAAGGAAACCGACATGCCTTAGACCCAAAAAAGTCGACGGCATGTGTCAGGCACCAGAGGCTGATCACCTAGTAGATTTAAAAATGATCATGAAACAGATTGATAAATCTAAGGCCAAGACCTAAAGAGGTTGTAGCGCCACTGATTTTTTTTCATTAGGCCATGAAATTTGTTCCCACAATCCAACATAATATTATGGTTTACGTTTGATTTTAGACTTAAAATGTACCAAAAAGAAAACTGTCTTAAGTACCTCTCAGCTCGCGTTCCAAATAGCCGGATTAAAAGATTCTCATAGAACCCGTTTAAAAATAAAATTTCTGTTAAACATTTTTGCCAATTTCGAATTTCTTTAAAAGCATTCACTAAACGTGTCGCATGAAAGGAATAAAAGCAAAGCAGTTTACTCTAAATCCCATTCCTCAACTCGAGTACTATAAACTTTAAACTGCCAAGTTTTCCGTCTAGGTACTGTGAGCATCTAAGTGCTATTCCCAAGTATGCGGAGGCAAAAGCATTTTAAAGCCGATTAAAACCCTTTGTGACACCAAGGATGGGGTTGATGTAACACTCCGCAAAATTCATGAGTAAAAACGTAGTTCGGTTTACCTTAGGTTTTTAAATTAAAACTTCTTTAGGCGCATGAAAGTAAAAAATTTTAGGGATGAAACGATAAAATAATAATAATATTACCGTCACGAAGATGTGCAGCGTTTTGTCAAAGAAAAGAGAGAGGCTCTCTTTTTACCGTCACGAAGATGTGCAGCGTTTTGTCAAAGAAAAGAGAGAGGCTCTCTTTTCTTCGACAAAACGCTAAAATAAGAGACCAATTGAGAGAGAGTGAGAAAGGGCAAACGTAGCATGAAGCAAGTAGCCATGGAGCAAGAGTAGGGAGAAAGCAAGCGAGAAAGATCGAGAGAGAGAGTGAGATAAGAGCGAACGTCGCATTACTCGTAGTTGATGTATTCATTTAGTAGTTACTCGTACATATTAGAACTTTAAACGGCAATTCTGTCGCATAACGTCTTGTGCAGTAAACGCAGATTTTTTATTTATTTATTTATATTATCATTAGCACGTATACAGTGTGTAAACAATGGATATTTATATATATATATATATATATATACAAATACATGGAGTGATCATATACATGATCATCGATTGGGGCTTTTACCTTAGTAATAATTAATTTACAAAGAAGTTTCACTTCCGACTTGTGTACTTGTACGCACGCACTTTTTTTAATATAGCGCTACGCTATTTGAACCAATGAACGTGGTAACTGAAAGCGCACTAAGCCATTCATTTATCTATTAAGATAGTGGTCTGTGTTTGACCTTTTCATTATTTATTACTATGTTGCTTCCCACTATTCATTCAGCAAAAAAATTAAGGCGACCATATTACTTTGCGAATAATGTATTGGGGTTCCAAAACTTTGTCTCGAAATGTTATATACAACCAAGTTCAAAACTTTGCGACAGATTCGGGAAGGCTGTTACACTATGTATCTTTTGACTAAAAGTTTTATTTTTTAATAAATTTACTTATTTACACGTTTCTGAACTAACGAAATGTGAAAGAAAAAGTTGCCATAATTATAAACAATTGTTATGTTTTGATGTGGAGATTGCACAACTAATCACCCATTTATGTGAAGTATGTCTGTGTGTGGTTGCTCTACATATGTCTACATATTTCGTCCTATATCTTAATGTGTAAAATATTGTGTAAAGCACAAAATATACAACAGAATGTACAACAATTACATAAACGATAACTACTATAGCCTCTCTCAACAAAACCATTTTCTTGCTTCTCCGTCCATTTATTTTAAGATAACAGATACACAAGAAGTATATCCTCAAGCAAAAATATAATTCCCTTAAAAGCATCAGAGTTTTTGCGAGATTAAATTCACAAAGGCTACTACAAATCAAGCCATGTCGGTAAGTAAAGATGGCATTAGCAGGGCATTAGTGAGATTAGCAAATAATCTTCTTAAAGCCTGTACAACCTTATCGTACTATAACGATGGCCAAAAGGAAAAGATGGTTTGAGTTTTCCGAAATAATTTATTGAAGAAACTACATTATACAATCCGAAAGTTATTTTACTTCTTTTTTTATAGAACAGGGGGCAAACCGCTGATATCGCCGCCCATGGACACTCAAGGACAGAGGGCTCGCAAGTGGGTCCGGCCTTTTCTACACTTATGAACGTCTTGATGATATTCCTACAACTCTACAAAACACTATTAATAATGACAATCCAACGATGAAAATTTAGGTCGCAACCCAAATTATAAAAAGTATATTATACCAATACGTTTCTAGAATTTTCTGAATATAATTGTAATTAATATAACTGCTTTAATTGAAGAATACAGATAGTCGAAAACAATTAAAACGACGTCCTGAATTATGATTTTATCTTCCAGAATTGGTACGCTCTTTTCTTGAAGGAGCCTACGTGGACTTCTATATATTTTTTATAAATACTTATTTTTATCTTAAAACGACATAATTCTGAAGTAAATATTTACTGTGACCAAAAATTAAATATACAAATACATTATACTAACAGAATTTTGTTATAATATATATTGAAATAGGCTCTATTAAAGATTGCTTTTTTGTCTTTATCTCACCAAACGGTTTTTAAAATATAAAAAATAAAATTATAAACCTAGGTGTTTAGTCAAGATGCCTTAACAACTAAATTTGTATGAAAATTTTCCAGACGAAGTGTAATTTTCATACAAATTAAGTTTTAGACATTCTACATACACTACTGTTAATGCATCTTGATTAACCCCCTAGTATTTTGATGTCTGTTAAAAAGACTTTCATAATAGACATTAGTAATTCATTTTAAACTCCTTTAAATATATGCTAATCTTGCTTAACTTTTTAACTGGTTATCTTGCCGAAGCCGCGCACAAATTATTTAAAGAAGTCTATTCAGTTTGAGGATGTACGATTATTTCATCAGTTTCCCTACGCTTACAGAAGCGTGTTTAATCAATTAAAAGGGCATTAAATATACATATTAGAATGAGTCTAATAGACTAAAATTGGGATGGCGACGCGTATCTCGTTCGTATATTACGTTAAGTTTCTCATGTAAATAATTTTTTTTTTGTAATGATAAATAAAGTTCTTTAACCATTAAATAAATGCATTTTCTAAACACATTTGCAAATCCCATGCATTCGTTTTCGTCTTTTAATAATAACAGCGGCTGTTTATTAAGAGTTTGTGTTAGTAAATGAGAACTCGGTTCACATTTTAGCATTCAACAGAGCCATGATGAGGAATCCCTCGCTCGAAATGCAATCTGAAGTGGTTTTTTGGCCAGCGAGCATGCAATGAACTCAATTCTTTTATGTTTTTGTAACCTAATTTTTAAACCGCCGTTTTCATTTCTCGTAAACGGGATTTTCCTCGCCATCGCGTTTTAAATTATTACACGGAATTGAATTTTGTGGTTTATTTATTTACAGCATATAAAGTCCAAACATTAATTATAATAACTAACTCATATACTATTTAAATGTAAATTTTATAACTATTAAAACACATCTTAAATTCGATGGAGGAGATGGTTAAGCAGAGAATTCATACGCATAACTGGTGACTGCTGGTGAAGGACAACTTAAGATAAGTGCAGCTCGGTAAAATAATATTATCACACAATGACAAGGCAAAATGGACACCAAAAGTAACCTGGCAAGAACGAACAAATGAAAGTCTAAGAGGTAGACCAAAGTAAAAATGGATTGATGAAATAAAAAGAAAAGCTGGTGAAAACTGGATTACCAAAGCAAAAGACAGATGTGGAGCAAATGAAGGAGGCCTTTACCCGTAGAGGGGTCCATAATGATTAAATGATACATAATGATATATAAAAATGAATTTTGATTCTTATTCATTTATTTATCATTTAAAATTTATATACATTGAAATAATTAATTATGATTGGAATGCATGCATATTATGTAACTATTAATCATATGATATACTTGTTTAATATATTATTAATTATGGAAATAAAGAGGCTATAATAATAATAATAATAGTTATTTAAATTACATTATTCAATTATATACTGACCTCAGCATCGTAGGATCGTATTATTGTACTACAACTTTAATTCCTCGTTTTTATAACAAAGAGCTTTAATGTAATTAAGTAGTCATAAGTAAATATTATGTAAATTCCTAATTAAAAACGATCATATTATTTTCCTTTAGAAATTCCATTGTTTCATATTATATAAGAATCACACGCTGCGCCAAGTTTGGTTAGGGGTTAGCAAAAGTTAGCGATGACGTCATAACTGCGCTCAAATGCTATGTCGGGTCAAGGACGACCGCCCAAGAGCCGATACATTTATGAAATTAGCTATCGAGACTAAACTGGAGAGCAAATTTCCCGAATTAGATAAACACTTTCTGAATACAAATCTATACTTTATTATATTTAGTATTACAAATACCTTATAGTACATATTCATAGAAAATAATGAAAACAGCCTATTTGCACCATTATAACTAAATCTGTCTCCTTTCATCACATCGTAAACAGAATTTGTCAGAAAGAGACGGTACATAAGATTTTTAATGTGCTTTAAAATGTACGCACTGCATCCGTGACACGTAAAACCTCGATACGATAACCGGCGAATATTACTTTCTGAAAAAAAATTTCAAGGACTGAAACAAACTAGCATTAAATAAAAGTAGCTTTTTCTAAATTTCTAATTAGCCTTGCTTACGAGGCAACAGAAAATTTGTTATCCAAAGCCATTCGA